TCTCGCCTCTGCAGCCTTCCAGAATGCTCACAGACTTCCACTTCCCAGGTTCGTTTCGATACTGGATCCTCATGTTGCGACATCTTCACTCCATCAATAGACAGTCCTTCTAATGTAGCATACACCACTGGATCCTTATTCTGTTCTTTTCCTCCACTGCTGTCGTCGTCGTCGTTGTTGTCACCACCCCCGTCATCCAATGTGGCATGAACATAAATCTTACGTCCTTCGTGCTTGTCAATCCTGCCAATAATCCTCAAAATAGACCCCACTTTGACTGGTTTCTTGAGGGAGACGTTCACTTGGACCGTGGCACCCGACCAAGGTTGTCCACTGGTCGAATGTAAAAACGCCAAGTGGCCACAAAAATCATCCATCAGCGAGGTCATGGCTCCCCCATGACACAGTCCCCGATGAGATTCGGCATGAGGGCCAAACCAAACGACGCCCACCATTTCTTTGGAGGATGCCTTGTAGTAGTAATGTAAAATGCGAACGCCAACACCTTGTGGATTGTGGCACAAATCACGACCCTGCCAACCATTCGCATCCCTCCAGTTCAAGTCTTCCCATTCACGCAATCGAACTTCGGTCCAATTCTCAGATGATAGTGCAGTATTAGGACTACTAGCGTTCGTGCTTTCACCATTACTATCATCATTGCTTATTTTTTCCGTGTTGGTGTGTTGATGGTTGGAGAGAATTTCTTGGGCAAACCGTGGCAAGGTCGATGGTGGTTGTAGCCACAATGACGACGACGACGACGACGACGACTTTTGATTTCTGGAACATATCACGCGGGTATAAAGGATAGACGATGCAATACCAAATGCAGTTCCAGCGAGAAAGGGAAGAAAAGAGCTCCTAACAGTGCTGGTGCTGATATTTCGATTGCTGGTCGTGGTCATTGTCACTCCCAATGTTATTCCACAGGTTGCTGCGATGATGATAATAATAAAAAAGTGGCTGAGAATCTCAGGATGGTCAAGTGAGTCTACTTCAGTACTATTTAGACACACGTCATTCAAAATGTTGGCAGATTTCGAAACCCGCCGATTGATTAGGAAAGCATTGATACGATGCTTCCAGTCATGATGTGGTGCCTGGTAGGTCTAGCAATATGTTAACATATTATACGATGTCTTTCTAATATCATCATTATTATCCTAGTCCTACTTTTGTCTCCAATCTTTCCATTTTTAGGAACATTTGCTGATGTTTTCATCGTCTTCAGGTAGTAGTAGTAGTAGTAGTTTGTGTTGTAGTAGCATAGTCAGTTTTTTCTTCTACTAAAAAGACTAATGCTACCCACCGGCGCCGGTATGTACTGTATAGCCTCAAAAATGGTAGCGTTGTTTGTTTGTCTCTTTCTCAATCAGAAGCATCAAATGCTGAATGAATCAATCAATTCCACTCGTCTGCTTTGCTTTGATTTAGTAGTACCAGAAACCACCATCATCCTCATACGTCTTGGCATTGGGCAGTTCACCCGACTCGTTGACGATACTACTGTGACGATTCTTACTTGATCGTTCAATATACGGTTTCAGAAATTCCTTTTCTGCCTTTTTGGCCTTGCGGGCCACGGTCGCGTTGCGAAAGGCACGCTTGATGGTTTCCTTGTATTCGTTTAGTTTTTCATTCTTGAGACTCTTGAGAGTTTCTTCGCGCTTCCGGCGCTCATCGTCAGCAGCCTTGGTTGCTGCACCAATCTCCTTGGAGGAGTAACCCGAGTGGTGCAGCTTGCACATGCGCTTGAGATGGGACAAGTGCAAGCCTTCGACGTTGCGTTTGATGCGGGAATGATCCGAATTTTGGAGAGCCTTTTCGTCGGCATACAAGCCATACTGTTCATTGTGGTCCACCGAGACTTCCATTTCGCGGGTGGGTTTCCAACCAATGGTGATTGGCGGACCGGAGTCTCCACTTGGATTGTCACCAGGAACAATGGGATATTCACGCACTTGGACTGTGGAAAATCGAACTTCTTTTTCTTCTCCTTTTAGATTGTAAGAGGAGGGGCGTTTGATAATTTTGCTGGGGGTTTCGGCTAATTCTCGTCCAACTTGAATCGTATCGATGGTATCGTACATATCCAAAAGTTCCTGAACATCAAGATCCTCATCATCCGAATCGCCGTCATCATTCTCACTACTGTCGTCACCCACAACTTGTAAGGTCGCCCAGGAAACGTCTTCTTCGGCCATTGATGGGTTGCTCATGGCGGTAAGAGAGGCGGTGCTCATGGAGTTTTCGGATTTGTGAGGACTTTCGTCTTTTGTGATTGGAACTTCCTGAAATTCCGTGCTGGTTTGTGGTGAGGATGATGGTAGTTGTTCAATGTCTGGTTCGTTGTGGTGAGCTTGATTTGCGTAAATGACAGTGAACATTGTATGTTAAGAATATTAGGAAAGTGGTTGTGTTTGTGTTTTGTGTTGTTATTGTTGCTGTTTTGAGGATGTATTTTTATGGAAGATGAGATATGAAAAGGCAGCACTTTTGGAAGGAAAAAAGTGAGAAGGATGCGAACGATGCAAATGATGGGAAGCAGAAGAGGTCGAGCTTCTCAGAGTCACTTATTGGACTTATGGGAGCAGTTTTACGTGGAGGGTCTTATTCGGTGGCCACATTAAATACCGTGACAAAACCCTGAGGTATGATGTCGCTGACTGCTTGAATTTGGAGAGGCCACCTCGATTGTACACCACGTACATGACATTTTGGAATCATGCAATTGAGAAAATTAGCCCTATGATTCTGGCACCAGGAAAGATTCGGCTGACGTCGATAGGACGTCACGAAACGACAACAGATGCCAACCTTCCGATACGAAGACGAAGACGAGAAGGGCATCTGCCATTTTTTATGTCTACGTGTACATGAAACACTGCACATTTTCCGAATGGGATTCAAACACCGGTGTCTGGATAGTGTCTGATCATCTGGAAATCACGAGCGTTTCGAACTTGACGTAATTTCAATTGCCACGATACTTTGGCGAGAATTTCGCACTAATCAGAAGTTGACGGACGCCGAGCGGACGCAAATTCAACGAGAAGATATCAATTGTTTGAAAGAATCAATCATACTAATAACATAGATAGTATCAAGAATTGTAAAGATGATTCATAACAAAAGTGTTGGACTAGATTGGTAATCATAAGCATCGTTTCTTATATCATACAATATGTGATGCTGAACTCTATCATCTCGACTCCATTCATCAGCACGATTTTTTAAATGATAATGATCACCATGAGAATACGCAGAATGATAATACTTTCATGCTTGAGAGTTGCCTCCTCTTTACCAGCAAAATGTAGCGTCCCAAAACGGCACTTCCTTCATAATGCCGTCAACTTTGCAAAGTCATGTCCAAAGAATCCTTTGCGAAGGACAGTCGATTCTGCGGTTCTGATGCCCGCTCCCTCTTCCTCTGCGTACGTCTTGGCGTTCGAAAAAGAGCAGTGACTTTAGTGACGGCAACGTCATTGTCCACCACACACCAAGTTTTGCCATCTTGCTGTTTTAGAAACAGGCCCCCGTTGCTTCTAATGGCAGCAACGCATTCCTGAGCGATGACCATCTTTCCTCCTCGCCGTGCCTTTTCGTACTCCTTCTGCCAATCCACGACAAGCTTGCGAAGCTTTTTGTTGCCAGGGTGGATCTGAAAGGGTGTTCCCTTGCCCAACAAAACATCTTCGCAAAATGGAACACTAGTCGTGCTACGAATAGGACCTTTCAACCGCTCCTGTCGCCGTTGTCGTTGTAATCTCTGAGTGTCTTCGAAATGGTCCGTCATCTCGCCTCTGTGGTTCACAGGTATCTTAGATGGGTCGATCCCATGTCCACGCAAATTTCATTTTGCAGTAGGACCAGACTTTCCTGAATCAATTCTGGAGTTTCTGCGAACATGTCTGGTATCCCATGTACGTCCATGTACGCCTTATTTTTCTCGATCAGCGACTGACCGCTGGGCAAGTTGAGATGCAAATCAAGGAATCGGCGCTTTTCGGGTCAGACGCATTGGGCGGCATCATCTGTCTGGAAAATATTTCTGCACTATTACTGTTGTCTTGAGGCGAAGTGTCATCAGCCGATGAGCCCGTGACAGGATCTTCATCGTTGGTGATTGAAAAAAGAAATTGTCCCACATTCTTTCTTCTGAACTATGATTATTGTCAGCCATGATGCTTTCCGTCAGAGTCCGTGGGCATCATCTTCCTCCTGAGGCGGAATAATCGAAAAGTGATTATAAAATTCCACATGTTCACTCATTTTCCTGTGGACAACACTACTACCAGCGCCTCTTCGTTGTGTTTCCGTAGCGAAGGATGAGGAGAGGTGCGCCAGCAATTGGCTTCCTTCTTATCAAGCAAGTCTGCTGTGTTATTGCGTTGGAAAATATGCCACAGACCATTCGCAGCATCCTATCATCATCAACCAGTAGCTTTCATCATATATGCTCTAGTTTCATCATGATAGGGAGTCTAGAATCAGCAATTCTTCATGAAGCACTGTTGATTCTGCGACTCTGGTGGCTGCTCAGCTTTTACTCCTTACTACTATTGCACGCAAATCTGGTGGTGATTGTGTATGCCAATGGATGGTGGTAGACCACCAGGATATCTCAAAACATTTTGTATCTTCTGCGTCCAAACTTCCTGTGATGGTGGTTGCTACATGAAGTTACATGATGAAGCTGCAGGCATGAGTTATCGCAATCTCCTTGTTATTCGAACAATAGGAGTTTTTCCGTTCGTCGTTCTGACGAGTGCAATACATATATATATATACATATATGAATTGCTTCGACTTCTTGGCAACAAAATAACCATGACTGGCTGGTGGTGATCAAGGAAGAATGTTTTTCGTGTCGTTCCTATCCCCATCTACTTGCCCAGCGTCGCTGCTATTTGTTGGGTTGTTGTTGTTGTTGTTGTTGTTGGATGGAAGTGGGAAGGTTGTTTCATTCTTGATTGTTGGAGCTACTCCGGAAGAGGAATTTGTCGGGGTGGCGATTGTGGGATGTGCAGTTCTCAATGTTGGTGTCGGTGGAGACGAATGTTCATGATCAAATATATCCGAGGTTGGCCGTGGCGAAGGTGGATAATGCCAGTCGAGACCAGGTGCTACTGATGGAGCCTGCGTAGTAGTATTGTTATTCGTTGCCAATCCGGTAACATCGCTCGGCTCCTTATTGTACCTTTGTTGGTTCTGCTGCTGCTTCAATAAATGTTGACCGATAATGGCTCCCAATGCAATCCCAATCAGAATCCCACACAAGCCCATGCAGATTAGAATATACTTGAATACCACGGATGGCACGGGTTTGTGAGAATTTTCCAGAACTTCTTCTTGTAGTAAATGTTGGGGCCTTGAAATCGTATGTGCCGTTTCAGCGTCTTCTAGCTCCCGTAATTGGTTGTGCAACGCGTCCAGTGATTGCAAATCATCGAAAGAGGAAGAGGCAGAAGTTGTAGTAGTAGTAGAAGTAGTAGCAGTAGTAGCAGCAGTATGGACGGATGATCTGGAGGGCGAAGAATCTTTTGTCGTCGTCACTTTTGTGGTACGATGTCCACTACTACTAGAAGAAGGAGACGACGACGACGACTTCAATACGACTGCACTCGTTTCATCAATCGGTTCCATCTTCTTCTTGTGAGCCTTGTTCTTGCTGCTAGAGTGACTCATTTTGTTTCCTTTCGTAGCACTGTATATAGTTTTATCAAAGTAAGTCTAATGTATTGCAAGCGTGACGACAACAGATCTTATATTCCGACAATCGAAATTGAAAATATATATACCCTGTCGATTGGATCTCCAAAATATAAAATATATTGCGCGCACCTCTCACTTCCGAATCATCCCACCTCCCAAATTTTTGATCCACATGACTTGAGCTGGCCTAATTTAGTCGAAGAACGAACGAACGAATGACCGACTGAGACGTTGATGAAGGTATCTTTGCATTTTGGAGAACCAGAGAGAAAGGCTGACGTGGCGGAGGTTTGTTTTTTTCCGAACCCCTTACGTCGTTCTGCCGGAATGAACGTGGAAGCAAATTTGGAGAGAATTGTCTTTTTTTTTCTTTTCCCTCTTTTTTTAATTCTTCCCATACATCTTCATTTCGCACAGACACTGAAAATCTTGCCTCGCCATTTTCTCTGAAAGCATTCGATTGAGTAACTAAGATTGGTTATCTCCCGGATTAAAGGCAACACCGTTGATAACTTCTATCATCGTCAACGAAGAAGAAGAAGACAAGTAACAACAACACTTCTAATAATACACGCCACGACACAGCACAGGCGGCAGCACCACAGCAACAAAAAGGACGACTGACTCTGATATCTCGTAAAATGTTACGATCAGCCACCAAAACGTCAACGTCAATAGTTGCATCAACGGTGTGGGGAAAGCCTCGTCAACCGTCTGGTGTTATGATGGTATGTCGGATAAGAAAGGTCCACAAGTCTACTACCA